AGGCATAATAAATAAGATAAGTATAGTAAATAAAATAAGCCAAAGTAGAATTTAAAGGTTCCGAACTCAAAGGGTAAAACCCTAAACCCTATTAGTAACACTCCGCTCACCACCATACTGTATCTCATGAACGATGATAGTAAGACAGTTGAAAATTTCACCGGTGACGTATATTTCTGTTGCCACTTTAACCATAAATACTAAAAAACAGAATTAAAGAAATATTAGTGGGGCTCCCATACAACAGACATGATTCTTTGCCATTTTTGTAGATAATGGTACGGAACCGGAATCTAAATATTGTGAGAACATATTATAATAAAGAAAACAGCGTCGTAACATATGGGGATGGAGTTTGATGTATTTGTGCTTATAGACGACTAAACATTCAGTTAACGGATGTATTCTATCGGAACATTTACATAAATTATTTCATATTTATCTAGTGACAAGCAATGTTTATCGACGCAATTAAATGGCTTAGTCGCTATCAATACTGACGAAGGTTACAATAAGAGTTTAAAGTACCTGAACTATTATTATTATATGAAAATAGTCTAGAGTAGATATATTTTGAAATCATTTTAAGAATTTTACTTTTTTCGAATTTTAATTTGTGATCTTAGATCTCGATTAAAATAGCATTCTTTTATGATTTGGTGTTAGTTGAGCACTTATTATAAGTTGCCACGTGAATTTGAGTATAGGACTGTGCCCTAATACCCTTTCTATGGAATAGGCTATTACCCAGTAGTGGGACATGACGTAATTCATAGATTGTCACTTTATATTACTGTCTAACTTGTCGGTATAATACTTCATCTGTCATCAAAAGATATTCACTAAATTGTCTGAGATCGACGTAGTTATGATTTCTGAGACCTGGTTATGCGAAGGTATCTTAGATGTTTAAATATGTAATAGCAGATATAAAATTTTCCGATAAGATCGAGGTAGGTTTGGAGGTGGTGTTATGCTTCTATGTAAATCTGAACTACAAGCATGCGTAAGACCTGAATGGAATAGTGAGGGTCTGGAATGTATTTGGGTCACAATTTCGAGTAATAACATAGGCCTTTCTCATAACTTACATCTAGCTGCCGCATATATACCACCAAATAATAATATACCATCGTGTATAGAGAATTTTCTTAACACGCTAAAAGCCGTTCGCGAAAAAAAATACAAACGATCACATTATTATTGCTGGTGATTTTAATCTACCCTGTATGGAATGGTCTTCAGGTGAGCCTGTTATATGCAGAAAAGGATCTGTAGATATCCAAAATGCTTCATGCGATCTTATATCTTATTGCTCCTACGCAGGTTTGACACAAAATAATACATTTTTAAATAGTTGCAATAACACGCTGGACCTAATACTTTCCACATTCCCAGTCAGCGTGCAAAGGTCTGAATTTTCTCTTGTCAAAGAGGATGTATATCACCCTGCTTTACATATTTCTGCCACGTACATTTTCGTACGTCCTTTTAGGCCCTGTTGTAGAAAGCGATTACTATTCAAGAGGGCTGATTACTACAGTATTAATGACTGTTTATTAAAACAAGATTGGGCTTTTATTACAAGTGATACAGATTTGGATAATATCGTTACAAAATTTTACTCCATAATTAATACATTAATTGAAAAGTTTGTTCTTAAAGTCCAATATAGTAGAAAATACTCATATCCAGTCTGGTACAGCAAAGCTTTAATTAACGTTATAAAAGAAAAAAGTAAACTACACACTTATTGGAAAAATCACAAAAACCCAATCGATTACACAGATTTCTCAGAACTACGAAAAAGGCAAAAGAGACTACAAGAAGAATGTTATAATTCTTATTTAGAACGTACTCAAAGAAATATTAAATATAATCCAAAGGCCTTCTGGAGTTACGTAAAATCTAAGCGTCAGAGTACTTCAAGTTATCCCAAAGAAATAATCTACGGTAATACGATAAAATTGAGCGATCCAACATTAATATGTTCAGCATTTAACGATTTCTTTAAACGTAACTTTACTTTGCCCACCGACAAAAATTTAATTACATACGGTGATAATTTTATTTTTAATACGAATATAATTCATGATATTAATATTAATTTAGAAGTGGTTAACAAATTAATAAATAAGCTTGACATTTCTAAAGGGCCTGGTAATCACAAATTGCCTCCTATATTTTTTATAAAATGTGCTGAGTCTTTATCGTTCCCCATTGCATTATTATTTAACAGATGCCTTCGTGATGGGTACCTACCAACTATTTGGAAAGAGGCCCATATAATTTCTATCCACAAAAAAGGGCCCAAGACTATAATTGAAAATTATCGGCCCATTTCAATACTCAATGTCCTAAGTAAATTATTAGAAAGAATTGTACATATGTATGTATACTCCATAATATTACCTTCTATTCCTCCAGAACAACATGGCTTCGTGAAAGGACGTTCAACAACAACGAACCTATTTATAGATTTTGTCACCACAAACATGGATGAGGTATCACAAGTGGATGTAGTCTATACAGATCTTGAGAAAGCTTTTGATCGGGTGGATCACGTTATCTTGATACGAAAACTCTTTGAACTCGGGATCCGAGGGAATCTGTTAAGGTGGATGGAATCATATCTTAGGAAACGGTCTCAGGCAGTAATCGTTGGTGGGTTTCGTTCTGATTTTCTCGAGATAACATCCGGAGTACCTCGAGGCTCTATCCTTGGTCCTCTTCTTTATGTAGTTTACTTTTACGATGTAGGTAAGGTGTAAGGTAGGTGTTTCAAAAATGCCAAGTTCCTTATGTATGCTGATGATACGAAAGTATTTATGGAAATCAAAGATCACATAGATTGCCTCAAATTTTAAGAAGATCTTGAACAGCTGGACAGTTATTATAAAGAAAATCATATAACCATTAATGCTAATAAGTCTCAATATATTTCATTTACGAGGAAAAGATCGCCAACTTTTTATAACTATCAAATAAATAAAATAATTATAAGTAAAAAAGAATGTGTAATGGATTTGGGTATTTTGTTAGATTGTAAGTTAAGTTTCTCCGAGCATTTACAAAGAATTATAAATTCTGCGTATAAAAGTCTTGGATTTATTATTCGTGTTAGTTCACCTTTTTCTGATATTAGTTCTATTAAACTACTTTACTTTGCTTATGTCAGAAGCATATTAGAATATTGTAGTGTTATATGGAACCCACATTACATAACTCGACATTAATGACATAGAGAAAATTCAACACAAGTTTCTTAAGCACTTAAAATTTAAAGATAATAGAAAGGCGCAAAACTATGAATACTCGTGTGCTCATCACAAAATAATGAGCCTAAAGGATTGACGCACATATTACTGGATATGACTTTTCTGCATGGTACATGTAATGGAAAAATTGATTGTGGACCTTTAGCTGATAGGATCCTCTGTTTATGTACTCCAAAATACAGAACGAGACATACACTTTTATTCGCTATGTCTAAATCATCAACAAGGCATGCACAAAATTCTATCGCAAACCGTTTAAAAAATACATATAACAACAAATTTCGCTCAGTTGATATTTTCCATACTATAAAGATAGCATTCAAAAGGGATATATGATATATGCAAATTTTGACACAAGAAATTATTATAAGCCATTATTTTATATATTCTAACTATAAAATGTAAATCCTTTCTTGGTTGTAAGTTAAGCATATGTGATAATCATGTAAACAACTAAAGGCCATGGATTTTGTTGCTCAATAAAATGAAAATAAATACTAAATAGTATAAAAACCAGTATTAAAAAACATTTTGAATCGTTCACAGTAAGTTGTGGTACCTTACGAACCTATATTATAATTTTTGATGTAAAATTTTACGATTCATAAGAACGCGCAAGCTCTATTTGAACAAATTTTATTTGATTTGATTTGATTTGTGTGATTTCATGACACATCAGAACAAAACATTGAATTTGTAACTGTGACGTAATATTGTAAAAAGTCCTCAAGTGGCTTTTAACTTCCTATCTGACTGAACACTTGAATATGAACAAGCGTGCGGATATGTTATCATCATGTACATCATTTCCATTGTATCACTAGTAGTGAATATTGTAAATATGTTTCTATAAATTTAATAACAGCGCATTAGTGCATTAACGGGTTTTGGCCATGGCTTGCAGCGCCTCGGATAGTCATAAAGGTCTCGGTGTATAATTTTTTTACCAATTCATTACCGCATTATCGGCAATATAAATACTGAACGGTGTGATTACGAGGTTTCAAGCCCGTCGGAACTGTGAAGGCCCCTAAGGCCAACAGTGGCTCATCCAGCCCAAAAAAAACTACGAGGCAGTTCTACAGTTGTCTCGAAATGAACAGTCGTTGATGTAACGTCGGCGCAGACTTGCGGAAATCTATCAGCAACATGGAATGGTCTTCAACTTTTATTGCTAAACAGCTTAGTAGAAAAAAGTACATCTGTCATCCATACAAAACTAAAAAGATAATTTCCGACAAACCAATTCGATATAGTTTTGGAAAACCTAATCTCTATAGGTACGTAGAACTTACGGTTTTTGTCCCTTGTCCCTGTATTCTTTCTTTATTTTTCTGATTCTGATGAAACTAAATTAATACTTAATAAAATATTATGCGAATGCCTCCAATAAAGTTTCCGAGTTAGTAAAAAAACATGAAACGCATACTTTTTTCCTTGTATGCAGAATATATTATTTGCTATTGGTTTTCCTGTGAACTAAATAAATACTGAGTTGTTGCTCCCTTCACCGCATGATACAAAATTTTTCTATATATATTGGTGCAGAGTCTAGAGAGCGGTGTATTGCTAATCTTTAATAATTTTGACACACTACATACAGCACAATTCAATTGTGTCTACAAGTGTTCGGTTCTAATCTATTCTGTTTTGACTGGCACGTCATAAATTATGTCACTTAGCGATGTAATAAAATTTTCCTATACAGCTATTAGCACTCACCTTAACCGGCGATGATGACAGCCACAGTTGGAACAGGTCTGACGTCACCGATGTGCTCCGCGCCTCGTGGTGCGGCCTTGGCGACAATGGACCTCCGGACGTTATGTTGTGTATCCGATTTATTTCATCGGAGTTCGCGCACTCACGCAAATACCTCTCAAGCACTTTGGGTTTGTCCTCCAATAATCTCTTCAGCTCCGCCAATTCCTCGTCGGTGCATTCCTCGGGCGAAGACCTGTCTATGACTTCTCTGAACTCATCGGCACGCTGCATTGTAATATCGCTAGTGGACATCGTGCTGTACGCGTCACCTAAATCACTGGGACTAGATTTGAAATAATCACTGTCACTTTGCCTCGCGCCGGCCAATTCCGTTTCGCAACCATTTTGTTCCGTTATCTCGACTATAGTGATCGGCGGGTTTTCCTTCAGCATGTTGTTTACGCTTATCTCCGGTTTCTTTATTTCCTCGGGCAGTTCGTAAACGAGTCTCATCAATTCCTGCGAGCGCATCTTCTGTTCGTGTTCTTGTTTCTCCGCTTTGTTGTTGACCGTTTTCTCGCTCGGGAAGCTGGTGCCGTTCCTCTTCTCCGACGACTTTGCGACCACATCGATCGGCTCTTCGGACGTCATGGCAGACTTAGAAGATCACAGGCGTTTTGCAAGCTCCAGCAGCCCCGCTGTGCAGTTTGACGACATTTCTTGGTTTATGACGCTTCACTTGCTACCTGCAGACAACGAGATGTATATTGAATTAAGTGAATATAAGTAGCTGTTTAGTAGGATGGTCTGTAGTAGAACCACGCAACAGTGTTCGCCGTTGCACGAATGGGCAGGTCTGGTCCGGGTTAATACCACAACCTGACAGAAGACCAGCGTGAAGTAAAAGTATTACACTTCTGCGTTTCATCTGGTGAGTAAGGTAGTAAGGCCCACTTTATTAAAAGGTGGCAACGCATCTGCAACCCTACGGACGTTGCAAATGTCCATGGGCGGCGGTTATCACTTAACATAACACGTGAACCGCCAGCTCGTTTGCCATTATACCACATAAAAAAACGTAATCCCTCAAAAAACTCACTTTAAAATGACCAATGAACAAATACTTTAAGCGCCGCGGGATTCGAACCTATGTCTTCCGATCAACGTGCCTAGACGCAGTTTCGAATTCCATAACGCCAAAAGTTTTTGTTCATTTATCTACAAAATATTCAAATTTCAAGTTCCATCTTGAGTGCACAGACTAGCAGTTAAAATAAAAATTTAATCCTGAATGACCAGACTAATAAAAGGTATCATACTTATCATGAACATGATCTAAGGATACGCTGAAACTGTCTGGCTCTAATCCGATAGCTATTGTCAAAGGAAAAATAAAATCAAAACGAGATAGTAACGTGGTATATACACGCATACGTAAAGTACGTACGCATATGAAAACTTTGCTACATAAACATTAACATTATTTTTATATTCACACAGAAGACTAACATGCATGATTTGCTGCTTTAGTTTATATAACAATTAATAAACGTTTTCCGTCAGATAACAAAAAAACGTTTGCAAACAACAATACTTTGTTTATACGTACAGACAGATCTTTTAAATTTCCCCTTTTGAGGAGAAATCAATATGACAAGGGACTAAGCTACTACATGAAATAGCATGGAAAGAAAGTCGAATAAATACAACAAATGTTTGCAAATATTGGTCTGTGTCGCCCATCAAATGACCGAAATAGTTCCACGAAAGACATTATTTGGACGGGCCGGCATCGCTCCCCATTCTTTGTGGTTTTGACAAATAAAGCAAATCGTTTCTGAGTAGGTTTTCCTATACTCACTATTACTACGTATTTGTGCTGGAAAACTAGGAAGGAAAAGGATCGTGGATTTTTCAACATAAGTAATAATAAACTGGTAGGCACTTTGGAGGAAACATACACAAAAATATTTCATTATTTAACTTATTTAATAATTTATTATGACAGTAAGACCGCCTTGTTGTCCTAATTAAAATCCGAGTGCAGGTGTGGTGAAGTCAGTTATAGTTATTCAAAATTTCTAGTTTAAATTAAAAAAAAAACAATGCCCGGCATTTGTGACTGCAGTATATAAATACGCTTATTTAGACATTACATACTTGAGTGGGTTGGGAATCAAATCATATTTGATCTTTTTTTAGCTGATTATTTATTTTGTTTTAGCTCAATATAATATATTTCTTTTCATTATATTTAAGATTTTGCTATATATTTATAGTAGTGAATCGGAGTTTTGTGAACATGTAAAGAAATTTGTTTTTAAAATTTATTAACAATAACAGTCCAGTGAAATGTAGCGCTGTTATATTTCGTCCCAACTTTCAAAGGTACATTTGTTTTAGATTTTCGCCATTAGTCAAATTTAAGCGTCCCCTGAAATCATTTTAAAAGGACTCTGATTACGAGGGCACTCCAATACATACCCTCAGAATGGCGTTGGATGGTAAATGTTAACTTAATGAATATGAAATGAACGTAGTCCGTAAGGTTAGAGAGTTACGCAAATGTTTGCTGAAGAGAAATTTAATGGAAAACCTCAAAGCATGAATAGACGGTACGAATTTAGGCCTTAGGCCTTTGAGATATCGACGTTCTTAGTAATTATGTTATAGCGCTCTCTAATCAATGATATTATATACAAATACGAAGTATGTAAGACACTAACGCTACGAAGATTACGCCAATTGGTGTAATTAGGTCTCAAATCTATACACTGCTAACTCTTTCCCTATCATCCGTTCTATATGATGATGACAGATGTGTCACATTCGCTTATATATGTCATATAACGTAAAGCAGAACCAGTTTTAAACATCGCAGCGTGGATACGCGTCATCTTTCTTAGAAATTTCTCTTTAATACAAAATTAAATTTATGATTATATATGGCACTAAATAAAAATTAACTCGCAGTAAAAATAACAACTTGAAAACTTAGTTCAAAGCTTTAACAAAAATTACTGACCGCGGAAAAATAAAAGTTAGAAGTTATTGGGCTTCACTATGCTTTAAAAATGGGGTCAGGTCAGTTCGAAAGCAGTTTTATTGGTTGGTTGGATTAATTACATCTACTAATATAATAATTATATATGAAGAAAGCTAGTTTCCTGACTTGTTTGAGTAATTAATCAATCATATACATGGGTAAACTATTATAAAAACTTGAGTTGCGGTCTCTCTTCACATAATCCGTGATTCCATGTCGTAAAACTATTCACATCAAAATATACTTAATATTAACATCATATATATTTCATAAAAAAATAAAAACGCCATGGGTACAAGTTTCGTGAAGTGTTGCGCTCTTTTAGTTTACTTTTAAAATAAATTAATTATAACCTTAGTTTTTAAAGTTCCTCTGTTTTAATATCCCCCATTGAAATTATTAGGTGTGAGGTATAAAACTACTAATGCGACATTTTAACAGGGTCTATCCTGGTTACCTCCGGGAGCACTCATCCCACTTTCACAGCTGAATCGTATATGAACTACAAATAACTACGGCAGATGCAGAATTGCAGTGGCTTTGGTGCCAAACTAACTTGACTGTGATAGGGCCATGCAACGCGTTCGCTGTTGCACGAAGGGGCAAGTCTGTCCAGTTTACTCGATCTCGCAGAAGACCGGCGTGTAATGAAAGTGCTACACTTTGCGTTTCTTCAGGTGAGTGAGGTAGCCGTGTCGAATTTCTTTAATAGTGCGAACGCATCGGCAGTTCTACGTGTGTTGTTAAAGGGCGGTGGTGTGAAACGTCACACTTATGAATTTGAAAAACTCGTTTTTTTTATTATAGTTTAAGGATTAGTTGCATTTGCAGCTTATGCATGAATATAACAATTTTCTTTCAACAGAATTCAGTGTCACGTATGCCGTTCGTGTCAGTCATCTTTTAGTAAAGTATAATTCGTTTTTATTTGGAACTGAAAAAATGGGCCTGAAATAATTAGTTAGTATAATCCATTGCGATAAATTATTATGACAGACATATCATTTTGACATATAAATAGATGTAAAAATATGAAGTTTTTGAAAGGAAACTATAATTTTTACGGTTCCGTAACTTAAATTGTAAAAAAGGGGAAAAAAAAGTAAAAGGTCTGTCTGTCCGTGAAGAAATGTGATTCAAAATTAAAATCATTTATTCATCGACATAAGAAACATACATTTCATCCATCGATAGCCATTTTTTCAATCTACCATCGTTTCGTAATGAGGTTCCTCTAGAGGAGAAGAAACAGCCGGAAGAACTCCGCAGGTATCCTCTTACTTGTCATTTTGTTTCTTAAAAAAAAATTAATGAGCAATTTCATTATGGTGGTACTCGTATAATGGGTGGGTAAAGAACCCTCCGCGTACGAAATCGACTCGCACTTGGCCGGTTTTTGGTAATGAATTTACAGAAATCGAGACTTTTGATGCAATGAAAATGAATGAGGTAGTTTGACTGGTAGAGAAAGCCTATGAGCATTAGTCCGCTCTTTGTTACCTTTTTTAAGGTTAGTAATAAACCATAAATTAAGAAATTAAATAAAAGAGAATTATAAAAAAGAAAAAGTTCAAAACTTAACAATGAAAACTTTTAGCCACAGCCAGGATTGGAACCTACGCCACCCATCTAGATTAAATTAATTAAAGAATTAAATAGATTTTAATCTATACAAAAAGTTTTGGACATGGTTAAGGAATGCTGGGGAATGTGATCATCCTTAATCTTAAAAAAAATATTATCTTATATTTAAATTCGAACAATGAAAATTTTCGAATATAATTTGTTATAGTTAGAAAAGTATATTAATTGGTAGCTACTTTATTCTTGAATATTATATGATTTACTTTTCAACGAATGTAAGTGTATTTAAGTAACAAATTTCTATATTTAACAAATATTTCGACAAAAATATCTGAAATGTTGACATAAGTCGACATTATTCCCTCGTTAAATAACAATAAATAATTATAATTTTCAAATGATATTTAAGTATATAACATTTAAATGGCATCACCGTTATTACTTCGATGTTATTTTCCGGACAAAGCCAGACCAGCAAACTTATTGCTGTCGGCTTCATTCAAGCCGTTCTTAGAACAAGTATTTTCATTCTTGTGCTTACGGTTTAAAGATCAAATTCCCATGGCTCAGCTCGTGTTGTACCGAGCGGAATGGGTGCCTCGTTCCCCGTACTAAAGTCGTTCAATAGCGTAAGACGTATCGTATTCGATTTGTTAGTCACATCTTTAAAATCCTGACGTTATATAACGGGTAGGTAATAAAGATTTTACTATTTTTGACACATTTTACAGTTTTTTGAGGGGAATATAAGGAGAAAAACATTTGAAACTACATCAATCGTCGCCATCTTAACACAAATTGGATCCGCCACTGGAAATTTACTTGTATCTTTAAATATAATACGCAAAAAAATTAAGGTAACGTTAAACGTATGAAATTAACACGCTACTTACATGTTTTAGTCTTCAACGATCTATCAAACTACTCTTAAATATGAGGAGTCGTAGATTCAATTTATCCTTTAAGATACAAGTCACTCTTGCATACAGAGCGCTGTTAAAATATTCAAACACGCGATCGA